CGTCTTTGGGAATTAATGAAGAAGTTTCGATGGCAGCGTAGGTTAATTCAGTTTCAAGCTCCTCAACAACCGAATACCATACGCAGTGTCCATACTGATTTAAAATATTAATGACTTTCTTACTACCGGTCAAACTTTTCAAAACCAATCCTAGCTCCAAATGTTTAGATGGCTTCAGTCGCCCATTAGTTGTACAAAATATTATATCTTGACCAATAGAACTTACTTTTTGTCTCAACATATATTCTTTACGCCTACATCTTGGACCTGTTAATAGGTTTTCTAGGAAAAAATCTAATAAATCCGGAACTTTACATTCTCCTCTATATATATCATCAAGTGAAATATTTTGCGGTAAAAGTTGTTTTTTTATGTTCATTATTTGATTTCGAAGGCAAAAAGCAACATCTGCCATTTTTCTTTTTATTGTATTGTTTTTTGAACGACAAATCTTATATGCAATGTTTGGCTGCACTGTTGGTGAATGCAAAATATTTTTTTGTTTATAAATGGATATGCATAATTTATGTTTATAAAAAGTGAGAAGCTTTGTTTTTAAGTGATCTGGTCTAAATGAGATATTTTTGATTAGGTTGGTGTTATCCGCGTATTCGTTCAAATATCGCACATATAAATTATAAATATCAACTAAAAAAAAAGCTTCATGTTTCTCAAGTATTTTTGTGTCAATGAAAAAAATTAATTCATTAAAGGCTTTCAAATGAATTTTCCTTACATCGTGCCAAGAATATTGGCCAGATTTTTTCCACATTGGAAATTTTTTAGTATATTTTTTTTGATTATTTGAGCGGCAAACCCCGTGGTAACTAATTTCTTTAGCAACGAAATCGGTGTCTAATAAACTAGTCAAAATGAAATAAGGACCACTTTTGAAAACCCATTTATTTTTAATGAATTTTGAATGACCCTGGTAAAGTGTTTATTTCCATTCACAATACAAATTTTTTTTGCACACTTTATTTGTTTATCTATACTTATTGTAAAAGGAAATAGTCACTTTACCAGGGTTATTCAAAATTTAATGACAACCCGTTCTCAAAAGTGGTCCTTATTTCGTTTTGAGTAGTATATTTTTGATAATAATGTTTGGTCATTCATTGCTTTTGCGAATTTCTCAATACTGCTTCCTAATTTTTTTGTTGCACAACTTATTAACATAATTTTAGTTTTACCTGTACTTTCTATTGCAAAATACACAAACACGAGTGGGTATGCCTGTGTTAACATTTTTAAAATTAATGGGGTGCTGAGATCTAATAACTTTACTAGTTTTCAATTGTACATTTGGATGAACAGGTTGAGGGTATACATCGGAATCGGTATTATCCTCCAAAATTGTTTGCTTATCAACTTTTTCAACAGTTTCTGTTATTTCAGCAATCTTCGATTTTTTTACGGCTGTAAATTTTCTATAGCACGCAGTATGGTAGCAATCATAGCTATTTTTAATTAGGGGTAACTTAAAATTAGAATGTTGCATACCAAATTTTTTTCTTGTGGCCAATACAATGTGATACTTCTTTAACAAATCATCGGAAAATACCTTTAAATCTGTGTTTGAAGTTGATGTGATAGTGTGGATGCAACATGCCGCCTTTTTTTGTGAGGTACTTGGCTGCGGGGATTGAAACTCTTCCATTATCTATTAAAAAAAAATACATTGGATCAAAGAATATAATAGAATATACACGTGCTTTAATATTAGGAGCAACACAGATAACTTGGGAATGCAACTCATAAAATAAACGTGCAGCAGCCGTATTTTTCACCGAAAATGTTTGCTCTACTGGCCGTGCGTGTTGGAGTTTCGATTCAAAATAAAGTAACAATGCTTTTTTAAAAAATTTAACCTCTCTGATTTATAAGAAATACATAATAAGATAACTAGAAATATGTGTGTACTTACCGCATCAAGAATTTACAATATGTCTTTAAAAATAAGATAAACAATGGACTTCATCGAGTGTGTCGCAAGCATTGGTCGCGAGAATTGGCGAGAATGATCGGGAGCAATGACATTTGTCATTTGTCGCAAGTCTAATGGCGTTTCCGATTGGTAGATTTAGTGCGGAACTAGTGCAATTTTTTCTATTTCTTTCTTTTTCTTCTACAGGTCGATTAAAAGGATGCAAATACACTCAGTGCGCACTGAATTTACCAATCGGAAACGCCATAAGCGGCGCGACGGCAGTTCTTGGCGGCGGCGCACTAGTACCAATCAGACGTCAAATTTAAAATTATCGGGATTTGAGAAAAAAATTTATCAGATTCCAGAAAAAATTATCAGAAACAACAACAGTCGGCAGCTTTTTCGACTTTTCATCAACATATTTTTATTCGTATAAGGGACATCTTGATTTTAGAGGCGTCTGCTCTGGACGGGCTACCACTGGAAGGCGTCTGCCACGTGTTTTTAGGTTTATAATATAATTGTCTACATACCCACAAAATTTCATTTTTGTACTCGTTAGGGGGGTTTTTCATCAAAATTCCCTTGTTTGGGGGGCGGTCACGGGAGCGGGCTACCACCCATCGCTGGCAGACGGGCGGTTTTTGGTTGTGAATGATAAAGTGTTTCGAGCACCTATAATGAAAATTTTGTGCCCGATGAGGGGGGTGATTTGACGCTGGGCCACCGGTCTATAAAGGACGCGGCCTTGGCTATAAATACTGATTTTCAAATTCTCGTCAGCACACTGTTTAAAACTAAATGAAAATAAAACTAAAATGCTAATTTTTGGTAGAGATCAATTATCTATCTCGCAAAGTGATTCTTTTAAAATTACCTTAAATAACGTTAGACTAACAGCAACAGAATCTTGCAAGAATTTGGGTATATACATTGATGAGAAATTTAGTTACGAAACTCATGTTTCTAACTTACTGCAGAAGTCATATGCTAAGCTAAGAACTCTCTATATGTACAGGGATATCTTCTCTACTAAGATAAGACTTCGATTGTGTGACAGTTTAATTCTTTCTTGTGTTGGCTATGGAGATATCGTATTCTGGCCTGAGTTAACTGCTTTTAATAAGAACAGTTTGCAGAAGTTGCAAAACGCTTGCATCCGTTACTGCTTCGGGTTAAGAAAGTTTGACCATGTCACTGTATCTTTTCAAGCCTCCAATTGGCTTTATATGTCTGAAAGATATCAGCTTCACCTTGCTACTTTTACTTTCAAAATCAGGCAATGTACACCTGCATATTTATATGGCTATAATTACATATTATATTATCATTCCATTATTATTTTATTTTTTCTATTTTTATTTTTATTTTTATTTTTATTTTTTTGTTATTTCCTAATATTATTGTTTTTTTTGTTATTATTTTTTTTTCCTAACATTTGTTCTTATTTAGTTTAAATTAACTAGTAATATGATAGTTTTAGAAACTCTTTTTACTAAAGCTGGTTATATATGAACAGCATTGCTGGATCTCGCCACCAAGGCTGCCTATAAACTCTGTAATTTCTATTATTAATTATACCAAATAAAGACCTTTTGATCCATATCCTCGCAGTTGACTTAGGTACCCTAATTAGGTCGATGACAAACAATGCCACAAACTAATCCTTCGCATTCAAACCTCTCCAAGATTTTGACAAGCTGTCATTTCGTTACGGATGGAAATACTGAGACGAAATTCTAGGGCAATAAAGAACTCGATGAGACCTTTGAAAAGAGGTATGACACAACCCCTATTCCCTATTCAAATTTGGGGGGTTGTTTTGCCCGAAGCTATGGGGATGAAAAAAACTGGAAAATAGTTCTCCTTCAAATCAAAAATCGACGTGTCCGAGCGTTTTTCCAGATTCTCATCCCAAATCCAATAAATCGGGGTGGACCGTTTTCCCTGGGACACCCTGTATACTGAAAAAACACCGACTACGAATAGAATATTACACAGCATGAACACAAGAAAAAGAAATGTAGTTCAAAACAATCTGGTACAACCCCAGACATACTCTCTGTCAGAATGATATTCTCAGTGTAGGACCAAAGGTTTACAGTATTTTATTTAAAGAAATCTCCTTTTTTTTAAAAAAAAAAAATGCAAAAAATTGGAAAATATAATATTTTGTATAAGCATATTTCAAAAATTGGTGTGTAGGTAATAGACCTATCTATTTTTACCTGGTATGCGCGCGCCACACGAGGCAATGCCTTTCTATTGGCTAACTAGTACAGGTGAGAGGTGTTCGTTTGGCACGCTCGGCATCTCCTTGTCCTTGTCCATTGCCCGTGGTCTGACCAGAATAAAAGTACGATTGATATTCAACTTGACATAGATTGACAAGTGACATTCTCCTTCCTTTTTAATCCCGTGCAAATAAGAAGAACGGATTGGTATACGTAAGTCTAACATAATTTGGTACGTTTTGCCTCGTCTTGCGCAATGAGCGTTCTGTGTCTTTTTTTATCTAATGAAGTTTTCGTATTATTACCACTTTGTCTGGTAAAATAGATAGGTCTATTGCGCTTGGAAGTGTGAAACCAATCACACTAGTAGGACAAAAATGCAAAAAGTATCAAATCAAAACATGCCCCATTGTTAAAAAAAAACACAAAAAATAAATTAAGTTACAATCTTTTGGGATAACAGATGACAGCAATGGGTATGAATAAAATTACCCTTGGAAATATATAGGCTGAAACCATGCTTGCAACATTCAACATTAAAACGCGTTTTCCTGACTCACCCTGTAGATTGTGATGTTCAGTGCCATTGTCATGAAGTATTGTTAGACCAAGCATAACAACATAATAAAATATAAAATGACGTTTCACTGGACCAAAATTAAGACTACCTACTTTGTGATGTCCTTTAATTGGAATATAATTTTCATTTGTTAGATATAAGGTAGGTAGTTAGTTGTAATTGTCAATAATGTCAATGAACACCATGTATTTTGGGAAGCATGTTTTGCATAATTATTGTGAAATGCCACTATAAAAGTGAGAAATGAAACAATGTGTTAGGAATAAAAGCTACATGTATATAAAAAAACAGATCTAATAAATAATAACTCAGAACAAGTTTTTCCACAATGAAAAACAACTGTGACAGGTATTTTTCTAGGTTTTACCAAAAAATATCCCTAATTCAAATCAGTCATCCTTCCAGATAAATATAAAAAATTTCTAGCTATTCTTCTTTCTCTTTCCTATTAAGGCTGGCATTGGAGCCACTTGAGTATATACTTTTTGAGAATACTTGTTGATATACAATAGCGCTAGTAAGGATAGCAGTAAACTGAAAATAAAATATTTTTGTCATAAGAAAAAAAATACATATTACTTAGAAATACTTACCATGATGTTCCAGCGACTCTATGAACACTTGCAGCTGCAGAAACAGACACTACCAATGCGAGAAAAACTAAAAAAAAAAAGGAATTACTTGGGAATTGAAATAGCAGATATAGAAAAGAAAACACTACACTCAAATAATAGTATTCCTAATGTGTTTCTGTTAGCTAAAAGTCTTCTTGGCCCAGGCCTTAGACTATGGAAAACTACATGGACACAATCTAAGTAGGTATAGACTAATAATGGAGCCATTCTAGCATTAAATAATAGTCAAAATTCATAGGCTAGCTTGCATAATAAAGCATCTGATTATATTAAATTATAGAAAAACTGAATATCTTTACTAGAATTAGAACTGTACAGACTGGACGACCATTTTATTATGTAGCAATCCACAAAATGCATCTTATTGAAAGTATGACGAATCTTATCGGGATATTTTCCATCCGGAAAATTCACAATTCAAGTAATACCTACTCAACTTCATACCAGTGGCGGCTTTAGGATTTGGTCTTGGGGGGTGGGGCGCAGCAAAGGGGAAAGCCCGCTGATGGCGCCGCCGAATGCTTTCGCCGTAGTAGAGAAATTTTTCCGGGTGCCACGCGCAAAACAGAATTTTATAGTGTTTCTGATTGATAAATCCGGCAACCCTTGTGCTATTTTTGTGTTCGATTGGGAGAACTCGAGCGATTTTTTGTATTCGATTGACTATTGTATACACTACTAAACTGTGGATTACAAAAAAATGGAAATAAAAACTTGAAAATTATTTTTCATAAAATTCTAGTAAAGAAAAAAGCCGCCGATCGCCGCAGGATGGTAGCACTTATAGTTCAAGAGCAGCAGCTGTTGAACAATTTCGATTATATTTAAAAAAATATTATGTCATATATCTATTACTATTTTTTGTTGTTGGGAACTGAACCATTGCGCCCCCTGCGCCCCCTCCCTAAAGCCGCCACTGCTTCATACTATGAGCATAGACATGAGGATGCATGAGGTATCGTTGCTAGACTCACCCATTCATTGATACTTCGCGACCTACTGATTTCCAGCTTATCAGTTCTTGTCAGTGCACCTTATTCGCCTACTTAGGTGATTTTCAATTTGTGCTTTGTGGAGAGATAACACCACTTGCTATAGAGGGTGAATCTGAAAGTGAGGTTTTTCTTCAACAGGGTACCTATATATTTCGCCAAAATGAATTGTTTGGCAAAAAATTGTTTACATAAAAAAATTAAGATAACCGAGGTACAGGTATTCAAGGGTTTAGTACATTAAAAATTTAATTTTACTAGGTCATGAGCGCGCTTCGCGCGCTTTTTTTTTAGATCAAGTCCATCAAAATAATTATAAAATGGAAAATATTTATTAGGTGTTGTACAAAAAACAGCATAATTTTTGATTTAAATGTACATTATCACAGCCTCCTACACTTAACAAGCCATGAAGTTAAAAAGGCAACACCGCAATCATACCGCCAAGTGGTGCTGGTGCTGCTTGTTTTTATAAATATATATTTTTTATTTTGTTAATATGAATGACAAAAAATGCATCATTTATTGTACTAAAGGGCCAAAAACAGTAATTCAATGAATAATATAACTATTTGTGTAAATAATAACAGTAAATAGTTGATTTAAATGAATATATTTCTAGATTCTAAAGTGTTATAAGCCTATGTTTCAGTGTGTCTTTTGAAAATCTAACTTTTTCTTTCTTCGGGATTTTTTCGGAAGGCAGGTCCATTCAAATACTTGAGCTGATTTTTGAAAATAACAGGTACTTTTAAGAGTTGGACGTTTTAGTTTGAACTCTCGAATTACTCCTTTATCCTTGTTTGTTTCAAATCTAATTAGGTAGGTATTTCGGTTTCTTCAAAATGTTTACAACACACCACAGAATTTTTCGTTATTGTATAATCTCGGGTATAATTATTCTGGTGTATTGCTTTCATCCACAACTTTTGCAATTCAGAATTTTTTTGGAAATGAAAATGTTTGCATTACTCCAGTTTTTAAGGAACTCCTATAGTTCGTTTTGGACCCAGGAACGCAGTAGTTTCATGGCATCTGGAACAAGTTTAAATATCTTAGGTAATATATCGAGAACTATGCTCTTGCACACAAATATTAATATTGTTTTTATTGTTTTACCTTACCTTACCTTCATTTTTGCTCCTGTAAGTCCTGTACCCATTTGCTAAAAATTTGCAATCAAAGCACAAAGGAATAGGTATCAACTAAATATGGGCAATATATCGGTGTGTTTCTGAGGTTTCTATCCACTTTTTCGTCAATAATGCCCACAAAAATACTAAATTGCAACAATAAACAATGAACGCAATACACAGAAACACATAACCCCAATAACAAAATAGCACCATACGCGACGTTGCCGTCATTTCCAACTTCATGGCTTGTTAAGTGTAGGAGGCTGTGACATTATACATTAAATGTGAGATAAGTTATATAGATGTTATTTTAGTGAAGAAATTTCAAATGCGATGGATTGAGTTGGTGACTAATTATTTTTGTATGGTATATCATACATAATGATTTTAAATCGATCACATTTGTTGAATGTACGGTGTGCGTATGTCTACTTATCTCATTCTGTTTTATGGAACTCGTAGGTATACATTTTTCGAAGTGATTTAATTAAAACAGAATAATCTAATAATCATAACCATAATCAAGGTGTTATTATAAACCGAGTTATTAACTATTTATGTGCTGTGGTATAATACGAGAAATCGAGTCTTAAATTTTTTTTACATTTTCATGAAGTTCCTTTTTTTTATTAGGCCAGTTATTAAAGTCTACTCGATCAACATTTTAATGCAAACAATCGAAAAAAAAATTTTTTTAATAGTTATTTATGATATAAGTGTTAAAAGTACATTTTTAAGGCACGCATGTGAAAGTTTGCAGAATGAGCGAAGCGAATTCTGCAATTCACATAAGTGCCTTAAAAATACTTTTAACACAAATATCATACAATATTTTTTCTACAAACGGCAATAAAAAGCAATAACCATTTTTTAATGAATGCTAAATTGGAAGCATCTTTCCTACATAAAATTATTGAATTTGACATTTGTCAAAAAGTTCAAACAACCAGCACCTTGTTTTACAGGTAATGAAATGTCTTGTCAGTTTCTTGAAAGACTGTCGTGGTTAGTAATGCTTTTTGCTTAAAATGCAACAAAATACAGAAGAAAAAGAGGGTTGCATCGATCCCTTGAAAAATATAGATGAGGCGGCCAATCGGGCTACCTCAGTTGTTCAAATTTCACCATTAATATCAATGTAAATAACTAAAAATACAAACTTTTTTTGACGTTCGCTCTCAAAATTTGATGTTTCATTTTTAACACTAGTGCTATAAAGACTTTATGGCACTAGTGCGATAAAGTAACATTTTTAATGCTTCGGGGGGGTGTTAAAAATGCAATTTTTTGTAGAAAAAAGATTTTAAATTCAATTGCTCAATTATTTAACTTACATTTTTTGTTTGTACCTACGTGGTAGAGATAAATTTTAAATGTGATCAAAGTAGTTGGTGAATTATTACTTTTGCGGTACATCGTAATGACTTTAGATCGATCTTATTTTTTGAATATACGGTGTGCATATGTCCAGTGCATCTTATTCTGTTTTATAGAACTCGTAAGAATCCAAAGTTTAAAGAGTGCTAAGTCTTCATGTCGATCTTCGTTATTTTCAATCATTTATGTTTATCGTGTTCAGGTTTTTGTCTTGTAATCTTCAAATATCTTGTAAATAAGTTGTAAAGATCTTCTGAAATCACCTATGACTGCAAAATTTCAAAATTAAATTATCAAAAAAACATATCTTTAAAAACATGGTTTTTGACAACACTATTGCTCCTTTGTTTCCCTGAATAAACTTTCAATGAGTCCCACGAACGAACTCTGAAATGCGCCACATAAAGTTGTCCGTGACTATACACAGTGTGTAAAAAGTCCCGGAACAGTCAATTATTTCGAAAATGGTGCACAATATAAAAAAACTTCCTGTATAAAAGTTAAAGGTCTTAATAAAATCTATTGAAATAGGATTTTTGTAATTATACAGGGTGGCCCAAAAAGTTGTGCTACACAAAACTTCATTTTTTTTAAATGAAATGATCCTTTTTTAATTACATTTTCTAATTCCTCTAGAGATTCTATTATCAATTATGAAACATGTCATATGGCTAAACCCATTACTTTCAGAAATAATTTGAGTTGAAGGACATAAATACGATAAGTACGATATTACCTACATTTTGCATTGTTTCGAGTTGGTTCATAATGTTTCACGTTAAATCCTGGAAAAAAAAACATTTAACTTGTGTTAAATGAAATGTACCTCACTCAAGTTTAGTCAAAATTTTATTAATAACTAAATTATTAAATACAAGCAGTAAAGTAAAATTAACAATAACTTTGAAAGAACAGAAATAAAATTAAGTGTAAGGCGTTATTTTATCAAATGCTGAAAATGTCCTCCTCCCACAGTTTGACAATGGGCTAGGTTATAATAAAATTTATTGATGACGTTTTGTAACATTTCATGTTTAATAGATGCACATTCTTCAATAATTCTTCTTCTCAATTCGTTCAGATCTGGAGGTTTTGTCACAAACACTTTATTTTTCAGATATCCCCAAAGAAAATAATCAAGGGGCGTTAGGTCTGGTTACCATTTTGAACCAACTCGAAACAATGCAAAATGTAGGTAATATCATACTTATCGTATTTATGTCTTTCAGCTCAAATTATTTCTGAAACTAATGGGTTTAGCCATATGACATGTTTCATAATCGTTGTTTAGAATCTCTAGAGGAATTGGAAAATGTAATTAAAAAAGGATCATTCCATTAAAAAAAAATGAAGTTTTGTGTAGCACAACTTTTTGGGCCACCCTGTATAATTACATAAGTCCTATTTCAATAGATTTTATTAAGACCTTCAACTTTTATACAGGAAGTTTTTTTATATTGTGCACTATTTTCAAAATAATTGACTGTTCCGGGACTTTTTACACACTGTGTATACATCCT